CACGAAAACTTAAGGGATTAATTGTGGCCAGAAAATGAGTGGGGAAGTAGCAGCTCCATAGAAACTCAAATGGAAGAAGAATTGTAAACCTCAGTTAACAGCGAGAACCAAAAGTTAAGAGGCAACAAAGCAAATGAAGATTTTTTGAAATGTCGGAGTGCGGTTAGACCAAATAACATCATGTATTGGGCTTTTCAGTCACAGAAAGGCTCATGAAAGAAAACGCCTTGCGTGACCATCTTCTGATGCGTGTCAAATACTCGTCAGCGAGTAATGGCGGTATATGGTATATGGGAGGGGGTTAAAAATTTTAAAAAATCGTAACGCCAAAATTACAGTAGCTAGCGAAACGCGGTTTTTCATTAGATTAGGAAATAATATTTGCAACAAAATTTGTTAATCACTAATCAAAAATCAGTCAAGTCGAAAGTTTTTGAGATATTCCGTGTTTTCGTATCCGTTTTTTGAGAAAATCCGTGTGGAGAACTCCAAACTTCCATCGGACGCTACCCCAGGTGGCGGATAGGGGAAATAACCGCGGACCAAAATTGGAAAATTCCTTTACTTTAAAACCAAAAGAACTGCCTAACCAACTTTTTATTAAACATATTTTTTTTTTTATTAACATATTTTAACGTGCCTCCCGGCGCCAATTTTTTTATCTGAAAAAATAAAAAAGTTATAGGCGGTGAACTCAGCAGCAGTTACAATTCCCTCTTTATTCCATTACTCTTCAATATTCATTTATTTCGCTGCATCGTTATGTTTTCGCGAGTGTTTTTTAACGACGGACAAAAAAAAAGTTAAGAGGCAACAAAGCAATGAGATTTTTGAATGTCCGGAGTGCGGTAGACAAATAACATCACGTATTGGGCTTTTCAGTCACAGAAAAGCTCATGAAAGAAAACGCCTGGCGTGACCATCTTCTGCTGCGTGTCAAATACTAGTCAGCGAGTATGGCAGTATATCTGCCAACGATGCGACGTGGCCGGTTCGCTGTCAGCTATGCAGTTCCGCGAATAGGGGTTGATTTCAGTAGGATTTACATCCATCACCACCGGCATCAGAGGCACCAGAGGTCGGTGAATTCGTATCCATCCGGACCTACTCATCTCTATTCTAGATGATCACTTTTAATGATGAAGTTTAGGGAAAGATAAATCACGTGTTTATAATTTCAAAAATCAAAAAAATCAGTAAATACCGATGTTGTATTTAAGTTGTTGTTCAAGTTGAATGAAATCGTTGTTGCTTTGTGATATAGGTAAAATGCCCGTCTGTGTGTATAATGTCCGAGTAAGAATGCACACTACAGGAATCTCAAAAACCAGAAGAGATACAAAGATGATTAATTAGAGTAAAGTTGCGTCTTGCTGAGCCCTAACAACGCCATATTTTAAAATCCAAAAAATTCGAGTAAAAAAACACTAAAAACACATCCAAGTAAAAGTACACACACGCTTCACATCTCCATTATTACACTTCTTGCTCTATAAGTTTTTATTCCGGATTAAACTGTATTCCGGAAACTTCGGCAACATATTCTGCAGATAAAAATAAGTAAAAAGTTCGTATAAATGTATGTCCTAAAATGCTTAGTTTCAGAGATAGAGGGTGTAGAAGTTTCATTTTTATTTCGATTTTTTCCAAATAATTTCTGAAGTAACGTCAATATTTGGATAAAAATTGTTGTCTGGGAGTTTTTTGTCATTAGAAATTTGTTTTTGATGTCAATATGACCCCTACTAGTAGAGGGCGCCACCTACATATAGTGTGACCAACGGATCTGTAGCTACGGGGTATCGGCAGGGGAACGCAGTTGTAAACAAAACACGCCCAATTTCATTCATAAAATAGGCATGGGCGTACGGTGTTATATGAAAATAATGTGTATCATAAATATAATACTCAGATTAATAATTTTTTTCAAAAAACTTTATGCTGTTTGAATCGTTACTGTTGAGTTAGCAGATAAACACTAAAAGCTTTTATTAAGGCTCCCCTTAAATATTTTGAATCATTTTATTATTGTGTTGTTAATATAATAGAAGAAATAATTACAGCTGGGGGGTTGGAACCTTTGGTGTTACACAGCAAAATAAAACACTAAATCAGTACAATACACCAAAAACACTTTTAATTTTACACTGGACGCACGTTTCGCTAACCATGTCTGCCATATCAGCAGATGATCAAGACTGAGTCTTGAGGTATATTTATTTATATCTGTACTAACTATATTTTTCTATAATACATAATTTTAGATATAACTATTTCCAGCAAAAAAAAAAAAATCTTGAAAATAGTTAACTTTGGAAAGCGCAAACAAAACATAATTTTACTCATCAGTAGATCTGATATTGCCTATTACACCAGATGGTGGATCGCTCCGCCAGCAGTTTTAAAGGTTAGGTCATTGTCTACCCATATGTTACATCCAAATAGATAATACTTGGCTATATTTTCCGAATTTCGCGTATATATATATTTTATATCTCTCTCTAAATATAATGGGCCGCTCCATTAATATTTATCTGTTATTTTCATTTACGCCAAAAAATCATTTGATTTTAATAACCCCCCAAGCGTTTCCCCTGCAAAAGGAAAATTCGATTCTTCCTGCAATTTTTTGCAAAAGCTTTCTAATTGTGGGGACGAGTTTGAATTCGAGATAAAATCTATTTATCAAATTCTGACCACTTCGAAAAAGTCGTTGAGCTTTTCGACAGCAGTCTCACGTGGTCGTTTCTTTCCAGAGAGAGGATATCATTTTATCGGGGTTAGTTTCCAGCCTTTTTTATCTTCTGTGTGAATTTTTTTATAGCCGATACGCTAACTCCGGTATAAAGAAATATCCGCTCAAGTTTACGTTTAAGCGGCAACTCAAGCGAACTCTCTGTAGCTTCTTCATCGCAAACCCTATTATGAACACAAGGAAATACACCAAATGAGATTTCATCCACGTTATTATTAACTACCACTAAATTAACTTACCTATATAAATTAACTATTATTTCTCTTGTCTGACTACGTAGCGTCTTACCCTTAACGAATTTATTCGTTTTAAAACACAAATATACGATCAAACTTGATATTAATAATTAAAAACTACGAACGAAAAACATTATAACAAGATAACAAAACAATAAAACACAACTTCAAACAACACTATCAAATATACTAAAAATATAGGAATAAAGTTTAGGATAACCGGTATAAAATAATGAAATAAAGTAATAATGATCAAAAAAATGACACCGCCACTGGATATTTCAATAGTATTCAATATTCCTACTCTTTTCAGAAGAGACCGTGAAGTTGGGGATAAAGCAAGCGAATAGGAAAGGCGTAAAAGCCATGGCAACCGCGTGGTAACAAATCCTGTGACGTACTCGCCAATCATGTTCGATGAATAGGCGGCCATGCGCGCGGCGATGCCGGTTTTGCCAATGATATCGTTGAAAATCTTCAACTTTCATAATAGGCAGATTATACAGAATGAAAGAAATAAGTTATTAAATAAAACATATCGAACAATATGAACTACGTTAAAATTCATAGTAATATACGTCAGAATATATGCTAAACACATTATATATAATAAAAATATATTAAATTTATAGTTCATGTCTGGCAATTTTGCAATTTTATAGATAAACGTGGCAATATCGATTTTTTTTTCTCGCATTCCTTCCGTAGCTACAGATCCGCTGGTCAAACAGTATGTTTTCACTGTTTTGAAGCGTAATAACTTTTTGTGCGTACCTGTATAAAACTACAGAGGGAAAACATATAAATTTCTGCGACTTTTTACGCAAAAAATATATCTTTGTAAAAATCGCTACGAGCAACCGTTCTCAAGATATTTAGAATGGCAATAGACAATACATGTCATTATTGAAGAAAAATAAACACGTTATGAGTAGATAGTTATTTCACTGAAATAATAAATTTGCGAAATTTTTATTTTTTTAAATTAATCATAAATTTTTCTGCAAAAAATGATGATAAAACAAAACTTGGCACAAAAACTTAAATTTATAATCTCAGTCTAATAACTATTTAGTCATCATGTTTAATTTATGTCAATAATGACAGGTATTGATAAATTCCAAATATCTCAAAAACCAATACTCGTAGCGATTTTTACCAAGAGACATTTTTTATGTAGAAAACGTCCTAAATGTATATTTTTTTACTCAGTAGTTTTATACAGGTACGGACGAAAAGTTATTACTCTTCAAACCAGTTAAAAAATATGTAGGTGGCGCCCTCTACTAGTAGGAGTCATATTGACATCAAAATCAAATTTCTCATGTCAAAAAACTTCCAGACACCAATTTTCATCCAAATATTGACGTTACTGCAGAAATTATTTGGAAAAAATCGAAATAAAAATGAAACTTCTACACCCTGTATATCCGAAACTAAGCATTTTAGGACATACATTTATACGAACTTTTTTACTTATTTTGATCTGCAGAATATGCTGCCGAAGTTTCCGGAATACAGTTCGGACCACCCTGTATAATATCATGAGTCTCTGTGGCTTTGCTGGTAATGTTTTTAATATGCCTGTTCCATAGAAATTTACTGATTTTTTTTTACATATGGAGTTAAATTGTGTAATATCACATGTGCAGTTTATGTACCTACAAAAAAAATGGAGTTGATAAACTTTTTTTGTAAAAATATATATGGCGTTTTAAATAGTATATTGTTAAAAAATAAAATTTACGAAAATTTGGACTTGGTCACTTTCTCTTGTATACCGACGATAAGACATCCACAATTGGGTAGTGCCGGATTCTTACCGGCCAAAAAAACCCTCCTCCAACTACCACTTTACACTGGAATCCGCTCTCGCATTCTGGTGAATGGCACTACCGCGGTTTTATCTGAGTTGATGCTCAGTTCGACAGTTCTGCACCATGACAGTGATACGGATTCCTCTTTGGATAATATTACAGAGGGTGCGTTCATGTTTCCCCCGTGCGATTATGACTCTGCCATCTGCATACCAAATTCAGTGTATTCCCGCTAGAGTTAATTTGTCTAGTAGTTCATCCACTTCATCCGAGCTGTACAGTAGGGGAAAGGTTACTCCATCTTGTGGATTTCCTTGTGTTTCGATAGAAGGTTCTTTCACCAATCGTTTTATTTGTCCTATTTGTTTTTATTGAAAATTAGCGATTTATTGGAAAATTTAATCGCCTATCATGTTCTAAATTATTGATGAGATATTTTTTATAATGTGGGTATAATTCGAAAAATTAACTGACTTTTATTACTTATTACTCAATCATTGACTATCACATTTAGAAAAACCAATAACATTCATTGCTTCTTAGTAAAACCACACATGTTTCCAACATTTACGCTAGTTTATATACATTTTCTATATCAATAATTGTCGCATAAAACGTGATAAAAATTAATGTTATCCACAAAAATAATTTTAGATAGGTACAGTATGCTTACTAATGTTTCTTAAACCTGACACAAATTTAGACCGTGCTTAAAGAAAACTTAACGTAAACAACAAATACAATATAATTCAGAATATACAGGGTGAGTCTTAAATAAGTGCAAATATTTACAGGGCTGGTAGATCTCGATAAAAGAAACATATTTTCTCTTTACCGTTTTTCAAAATAACTCCAAAATTACCGAGTTATTTTACTTTGAAAATTTCCAAAAAAAGAAATATTTTTGCTTAAATTTTGAAAACCACTAGTTTTTTTCCGGCTTTTTTTCTGGTAAATTTAATCTACTACCTATGTTGCCATATTCAGTTGTTCAATCCAAAAAGTTTTTTAAAAAATGTCAAATTTTCAATTTTTTTTGTGGAAAAAAACTCATAATCATGTTTCTAGGGTCAAAATAAAGTATACCTAAAAATGTTTGCACATATTTAAGACTCACCCTGTATAGTGTGAAAAAAATTAATAATAAATAAGCTAAATAATTTTCCATAACATTGTCTTTGCAAATTGCAATATATCATTGTATAAAACTGTGTAAAAATTGCAAAATGTAATGTGTAACTATAGTTCACCACAATAGCATCATCAGCGGAAGATTAAAATCATCAGTTTTAATCTGAAATGATGACACTAACATGGTTAAATCAACTCTTAATGATACTAACATGGTACTACATGATTAACAAAACGCGGTTCCGAACAGGGTTTTGCGCCCCCAAAGATTTCAAATTTCAACTTTATAAAACATATTATTTTCAGGCGCATTAGGGTTTCTCAGTACAGGAGATGGAATAGTGCCAGGAAATAATGGCCTTAAAGATCAAAACTTAGCTTTGAAATGGATACAAAGAAACATCAAGGCCTTTGGGGGTAACCCGGATAGTGTCACTATTTTTGGAGAATCTGCCGGTGGGTCCAGCGTGCATTATCATATGGTATCACCTATGAGCCGAGGTAAATTAAAAATTAACTGAACGGAAAAAAAGGAAAAAAAATGAAAAAACGGAACTCTAGGAGCACTTTGTTGTCCGTCCATCCGTCTGTCTGTCAAAACCCTTTATTTCGGGAACGCATGGAATTTTTGTTATAATTGGAAAATTCTATTTCAGGTTTGTTTCATCGAGTCATAGCTATGAGTGGAACAGCTCTTTGCGTGTGGGCTTCGGCACCCAAAAATGAAAATATTGAGCACTCTAAACAACTTGCAAAGTCTCTGGATTGTCCAACTGATAATTCCAAAAACATGGTAGAGTGTTTACGAAAGGCTGATGCAATGGATATTATTAAAAAGGATACGATATTTATGGTAAGTAATAATTTTTTTTTTATTTCCAACATAAACTCTAATTAATGATAAATAATTAGTTCATTATTTATCAAACCAAACCAAACTAAAAAATTTCCAAAAAATTCCAAATTAAAAAAAAATCGCGAATTAAACCTCATAGACTCTATGAGGTTCTCAATTTTGTTTCTGGGGTCGAAATATAAAATCCCTAATAATATTTGCACTTATTTGAGACTCACCCTATATTACCAGGCAAATTGTAGCGTATTTTGTATTCTGTTGTTTATTATTTTTGTAAATATCTTGTATGTTACTGGTAGAAGGCTTATTGGTCAATAGTTTCTGATGTCTTCATTGCTGCCTTTCTTGCGAATTATAGAATTATATTGGCTCTATTCCGGTCTTGGTATATGTTTTCTGCTTAGACAGTGATATATTTGCTAGGACTTTCCAAGTCCTCCTACCAGCGCACTTAAGTAATTCAGCTGTTATTTCGTCATCCCCTGCTGCTTTTCCTTTTTTCATATCTTGAGCTCCTTTTCTACTTCTCCCACGAGAAGTTCTAGGGCGTCGCCGTCGGCTTCTGGTAGGGGGGCAGTCTTTCTTCTTCATGTATGTTTTCTGGGGCTTTATATAGGTCGCTGTAGAACCTTGTTATTATTTCGTTTTTGTCTGTTCAATCAATTCTGATGTTGTGTGTTACTGCCTCTTTCCGATCATGAGGGATTTCTTAGCGTTCTTATAGATTTTTCTGTTTTCAATTGCACTTTGAAAGTTTTTCATTGTAGTTTTTCATATTTTCTGTATTCTCACTTTCTTATTGCCTTACATAATTCTGTGTATTCTATTCTATGTATGTTGCTCTCGGTTTTCATTTCTCTTCTTTTCTTGAGAAGTGCATTTGTCTCATCAGTCAATTTATTATCTATTTATTATATTTGTTACGCCGTTGTTGGCCCCCGATTTCTTTTGCACAGTTACTACAGTGTCCATGAGCTGTTATGTGTTTGTTTCTTCTTCAGGCAGCCTGCTGTCCAGCAGCTGTTCATTTTCACTGGATCTTTCTTTTAGTGTGTTGGTGTTTGCTCTAGGTTTTATTTCTGTAGTAATCAGTTTTAGTCTTTCTAGTCGAATGTCAAGGACTATTCTGGTTCTGACGAGTATGTGGTCACAGCCTGTTCGAAACTTGTTGCGACAAAACCAAGAACGCTCACATCTTATACTGTGTTTATCTGTGTGTTATATTTATTTTATAGTTAAAATGGGAAGTCAGTTTCATTCCTAGTTACACCATTAGGAGCTTGCCATGTCCATTTTCTATTTGTGTTCTTCTTAAAGTATTCTTTGGCCATGAACAGGTTCTGATAATATGCGTATTGTACAAGTCTCTTTCCTCTCTCATTTCGTTCCCCAATTACAAAGTTTCCTAGTTGTTGTTCTTGTTCTTTTTGTTCTCTTACCTTTACGTTGAAGTCTCCTATTAGATATTTGAAATGACTATTGTTGCTGTCCAGTGCTTGGTTAATTCCATTATAGAATTCTTCTACTTTCTCGTCCGAGTTGTTGGAGCGTATGTTTGTACCACTTGTAAGCAATATTTCTCTGACAGTTGTTAGGTTTGCCACTCTATCTGAGATACCTGTTATGTTCACTACTTAGTATTTCTATTCTTTTTTGATAAGAGATCCTATACCGCTTATCTTTTCAGGAGACGTACCTTTATAGTAGAACATGTTTTCCCATTGAAGTTCTATCAGATCTTCTCCTTTCCATCTTACTTCGCTGATTCCCAGGATGTCCCACTTGATATTTTCTGCCTCTTTTTCCAGCTCAATAAGTAAGCTCAATAACTTGGGGACACCTTGTATACAACAAAATATTTTGGAGATATACACTTTATAAATCATGCAACATTTATATAAAAAAATCATATCTTCGATAACAACGACGATATTGGAGTTTCTCATCCTAATGGCTACCCTCTATATATGCTCTAACTTTATACTATTTTTTCGATAAAAACAGCATGTTTATATTAAAAGAACATGCTTATATTGACAATTAATTTCGAAAATATTATTTCAGCTACTACACCACAAAAGGTTAGAAAATTACTTTAGTTATTATGATTTTTTTTTTCAGAAATGGGATTTTGATCCCATGATACCATTTAAGCCCACTGTAGAGCCTGACGTTGAAGGTGCCTTCTTAACGGAACATCCAGTTGAGGCAGTTAAAAAGGGAAAGAGTGCACCGGTACCTATGATAGTGGGAATAACTAAAAACGATGGAGCTCTCAGAGCTGCAGGTATGTATTTCAATTTTATCAAACAGAACTTTAACAGGTTTAATATAAAGTATGTCATTTGAGTAATCCTTATGCTAAATGTATAAGGCTAATTCTACAAGGGTAGATTAAAACGCCTCTGCCGTTCCATAAATCCGTTGTCAGCATTCTGCGGCGTATAATCGGTTCCTTTTTCTTATTATACAGGGTGATACTTAAATAGGTGCAAATATTTTTGATCACATACGTACACTAAGAGAAACTATCAGTCGATCCAACAAAAGAATACAAACTTCCACTAGCCATAGCATTTATATACTTCTTTCGGCTATATTTATATATCCTAAGGCAATAATAGAGGCCCTAGGGACACAAGGCCTATATAGAAACTACCAGGCCTTATATAGAAACTTTTGCCAATATATACAAAGAAGTCAAAGCAAGAGTAAAACAACCCCAGAGTTTCCAACTGGTAAATGAGTACCACAGGAAGACGCGTTATCGCCAAAACTGTTACAGCAACACTAGAAGAAATCTTCTGTCAACTGGACTACAAACCAAACCAAATCAATCATCTAAGATTCGCTGATGACATAGTCCTAATTGCCAATAGTCCTGAAGAATTTAGCATGGAGTACTTATAGAAGAAACGAAGAAATTCAATCATATTCAAATCTAGAATTCCACTTTATCTAAAGAAGAAAACATTCTACCAATGTGTACTATCAGTCATGACCTATGCATGCAAAACCTGGACACTTGAAACAGACCTCATAAGGAAACTGCAGGTCACAACGCTCAATGGAACGAAATATGCTGGAAATAACCAAAAAATCGTAAAATAATAGAGTGGATACTACAAAGACCCATGTAAGAGATGTCATCAACAGAGTCAAATCCCTCAAGTGGCAATGGACAGACAAGATGGACGGACAACAGATGGACCACAAAATGACATCATGGTAACCACGAGGAACTAAGAGACCTAAAAGAAGACCGAACCTGAGATGGGATAACCAAACCAAACCAAGCCAAACCCAGCCCAACTACAAAAAGAGTATCTAAATCTAAATATGTGAGGGAGGCTACACCATAATTGAAAATGGTTGAATAAGCTGAAAATGATGATGATATTTTTTTTTTAAAATTTGAAATTTTTTTTGGAATTTTTTTAGTCTTTAGTTAAAAAACATAATTTCTTGATAATATGGCAACATAAGAAGTAAAATAAATTTACAAGAAAGAAAACCCTTTAAAAATCCACTGGTTCTCGAAATTTAAGCAAAAAATCAACAAGTTTTCAAAGTAAAATAACTCGGTTATTTTGGACCATTTTGGACTTATTCGAAAAACTGTAAGAGAAAATATGTTTCTTTTATCAGGATCTATTTTTTGTATTGACTAAGAGTGGGTCCCATGGGGGGACCCTCCACTGAGGCCGCGAGGGCCTATTGTGGCTCAGTTTCTACAGTTTCTACACGCTCTAATTTACAAGAGCGTCAAAGTTCACCCTTAAGACCCAGCCTCCTAATATAGGCCGTTATGTCTGAGGGCGATATGTCTCCTAGGTCTGATAGGTCTAGCATGGGTTTGCCAAACATCTCAAACCTGGTCCTGCCCCCAGCGGGGCAGGTACACATAACGTGCTTCATTGTTTCGTCATCTTTCATACAGAGTTGGCATTCGGCGTCTTCCACCAGTCTCATCCTCTGTAGGTGAGATCTCAGCCGGCAGTGGCCCGTGTACACTAAGCGAGCGTACGCGCTCAATTCCTACCGGCCTTTAGGAGTTCTCCTGTTCTATGTTTGGATGGCCCTGCTAGGATTTTCTTGGCATGTTCCATTCCGGGACTGTCATTCCAGTCCCGGAACGTCGCACCCCTAACCCTTTCACAGAGCCTGTCTCTTGCGAGATTTTTAGGAACGCTAAGTGTCGGTTCTGGGCCCACGAATGGCGAGCCTGCACCAATTTTGGCGAGGGAATCAGCACGTTCATTTCCCTCTAGGCCGACATGTCCCGGTATCCATATTAGCGACACTTTGTTTCTATCTCCCAGTATATTGAGTAGTTTCTTACAATGAAGAATCGTCATTGACGTGCTTTTCGTTGCCTCAAGTGCTTTCAGCGCGGCTTGACTATCCGAAAATATGCATATTGTTTTCCCGGTGTATTGCTGTTCTACCAGCAGTTGCACACAGGTTTCAATAGCATATAGCTCAGCTTGGAAGATCGTGGTGTGTTTTCCAAGACTGTAGTAGATCTCAGTCTTTGGACTGCTGCAGTAAATTCCTGCTCCAGATCCTTTTTCGTTTTTGGATCCGTCCGTGTACCAACACATTTCCGTATGTATCAGGATCTAACAGCCCTAAAAATATTTGCACTTATTTAAGACTCATCTTATGTATAGAAAAACACCTGAAAGAAAAATCAAAAAAGCTAAATAATTAGAAGATAAATAATTGGAACTAGAAAAATAAACGAGGAATTTGTTTTAGGTTTGATACGTAATGATCAACTTTTGGAAGAACTAAATAAAGAATTTGACAAAATTGTTCCCGTAAGCTTGATATACGAAAAGACTGCTCATAATGTCAGCCTCATTACAAAAGAAATAAAGAAATTTTATTTTAAAAATGAAAAAATCGATTGGTCTAAGAGAAATGAATTGGTAGATGTAAGTATAGTTGTTAAATAATATATTGTTTATACTTTACCCTCAAATTTAATTCGAATCATTAAAACCACTTGGAAGAAAACTATAGTAAATCGAAAAAAAAATAAGATTTAAACACCTGTAGCTACGAAACAAAGCAAAATTGGACATATGTTGATATGAAAAATAAATCTTATTTTTACGTGAGGAATCTCCTCACTAGAGATGGCACATGTTTATTGAAACACCCTGTATAGACATGCGAAACACATATAGAGGGTGCCATAAAAATTCTTCGCTCACTTCCAACATGAACACATTATTAATAAAAACTAAAAACTAAATTATTTTAAATTTTTAGATGTATACTGATGGCTGGTTCCTCAACTGTGCGGACGAAACCGTGCAACTACATAGAAAATTCACTAAGGACCCTGTATATTATTATATGTTCAGTCATAGAGGAGTTGCTAGTTTCAGTAAAATCTTTGGCGGTGGTGAGGAAGATTATGGTAAGTAAAAAGAGAACTGAAAGTAATAGAATATTTTAATTTATAAGTGAAAACTACCGATTCTCAAATACTTAACATTGAATATCCAAAATTAGTTATAAATAGTTCTGTATCGTAGTGAAGCTTTTGAGTTTTGAGAGAAGTTAGAGAAGAGTTTTGAGAAACTTCATACAATATTTGCATATCATAAACAATATACTTATAGACACAAGTTAACTATTTCTACTGACCTATTTGTTTCATTATTACAAACTAATCTTTTATTGTAGGTGTATGCCATGCTGATGATTTACAGTACCTTTTCCCTGTAGGAGACGGATTATTTCCAGATAAAACACCAACCGAGTCAGACAAACATGTTTCTAAGCTATTCACTAGCTTATTTGCTAATTTTGCTCTTTCAGGGTAAAGTATTAAAGTCATATACCGTATGGTTTGAAAGGTTTAAGGGGGGCGGCCACTGCGAGCGAAACTAAACTAAGCGAAGATAAGATTTGTAAAAATCAGCTTCCATACTTTTTAATGCGTCAGCGGCTACTTGAGCGAAACAAAACGAAAATATATGAACGAAGATTCGAATAGTATTTTAGTTTCGCTCGTTTTAGTTCGTGACAGGTTCAATATGACAGATACAATACGAAAACTTAGCTGACTACTGAGCGAAAATCGTTCTCAGTGGAGTTCCTATTTAATTACCGTTTGTTTTCATATTCTCAGCTTAGTTTAGTTACGCTCGCAGTGGCCGCCTGCCTTTATGCTAACTTGCTTTGTACGTTCAACTAACCTTTTAAGTAATTTCTGGTGAGAATTTCTCAAAGAATGCTTAGTCATCACATTGGTACTACTTTTTAAAAACAGTAACTATAGTTTTTTTTCAGTTTTTTTCTACACCATATTCTTTAAAAAATAATCCAAACGGTAAAAATGTCAAATTTAAAAACGTTATACAAAAACTCACTTACTATTTTAAGGAATTGTCTCGAATTTGTTCATACTTTTAAGTATTAGAGCTCTTTCAGACGAGGATACTGTATGCGAGATTCTGTATACGGGATAAAGAATTACAGTCGAATACTATCGAGATACTCTTTTGGCATACTTTTTTTAGGTACAAAATAATATTCTAGTTTAAAACAAATTTCAGTGCGGTGCAGTCGTATTATCTTATTATAAAATGAATCTTGAAGAGTGCGTTCTGCTGTGGCATATACAGGGTGAGTTTCCTACGATGTTCTCTATGGAATCTGGGTATCTCGGAAACTACTGGCGATAGAGAGTCGGTTAAATGGGGAAAGAATTGCAGTTTTGTGGGGTCATAAACATGCGCCTTTCAGATTTTTGAAAAAGTTCATGGCTTACTAGATATTTCGAAAAAAACAAATTTCGGCTATTTTAAAAATTGTCCCTAATTCCATTATAAGCTATTTTAGACAAAAAGTTTTCAGATA